GTTCTTGTTGACACTTTTTTCAAGTCGTGGCCAACTTGGGTGCTGCTCAGGGTGACTGATCATTCATGTCATGTTACAATGATGTGTGTATTACATGGATGTTGTTCTTTAAATGGAACCCTCATGCCCACACCACATGGCCTGGGGCATTGCCTGTGGGAGAAGAGAGTGTGTATTGCTATGGCTGGGTAATGTTTTGTATAAAGGACGTAGATCATTTGCTTTCTATGCCTGGAAGATGTCATGCAGAATAGAAGCCCTTGTACATCAAAGACAATAATTTCAGTAAAGAAGGGGTTAAGATCAGCAAGCCAAATCTCTCTTCCCTATGGAGTGACATGTTATTTTGCAACTGGTGGCAAAGTCATTGCTTAAGTGTCCCCCCCCCTTAGAAAACCTGCCCTTCAAAGGGTAAAATAATGTAAAAGTATATATATATATATATATATATATATATATATATATATATTATATATATATATATATATATATATATGATTAATTCTCAAATCTCAGAAAGTGTCTTCATCTCATGTTTTTAGGTATATTTTCTGTATCTTTTGGGGAAAAAATTGCCCAAAAATAGGTAAATAGAACATTTCAGAGTTCCCTGGTACCCTGGCAGAAATGCCTGGAAAATGGCACAGTGTTCTAAGCAAATATAATTTTTCAAGGTAGAAGTAATGGAGGGATGATTGGCACTCTGGGGGAAATATAAACTGAAACCAAAACTTTCCATACACAAACCATAATGAAATGCCAATTTGTCACATTAGAGGTATCAATACCTTATAGCTGCAGGTCCGGAGAAACTGCACACTCACATAAGGAAAAGTGAACGTTACTGGTACAAGAAAAATGAGCCACAACAGACTAAATAAGCAGCTTGCAAGTAAAAACAATTCAAAGAAAACTTGTAATTTTTTACATGTTTGATGTCAGGAAGGAGCTCAAAATTCTAAACAGATGTTTCAGTCCTTTGAATATAAGCAAATATATTGACAATATGATATTCTTAACTTATTCTTAACCCACTAATTGCTGGTGATTTAACATAAAATGCCATGTTGCTCTGCCAGTAAACCTAGAAAATACATCATTTGCAAAATACATTTTTGATGTGAAATTGATATATATATTACCCAAGTTCTTATAAAAGTTATCTGAACTCCTGGATGGCTGCATGTGTAATGCTGGATTGTCTGCCCTGCTTGGCAAATTCAGATTTTTTCTTGGCAGTAAACTCCATAGAGGATTAAAAACTAAAGAGAAAACAGACCTAAATTGCCTTAACTTGTTCAGAATTGCATTGGGACATGTTAAGCTTAACCTGAAAGCTGGGTGAAAATGAGGTGCTGCCTGGTGGACATGATTCTCGCATACATAACATTTCACATTTTGCATTTATGACCACCAGATATCATGTATTTCTCCTAAGGTAATTAGAACTCCATAAGAATTGTTATTGTAACAACCATGAAAGGGAAGTAAAAGCTTTCCTATTTTTCATTGTGCATTATAAAAGTAGTTAACATATAGCTTACATGTAACTATCCAATCCTCTGGGAGCCATGGGCACGGTATTCCCTTGGTTAATTGCCTAGCCCTTACCCCTTATGGGGAACCTGAGGGGTAGACCATTTCTTTTCCCCATTTTATTCAGGCTCACCATGGCCAATAATGAAGATTCTTTACCCTTAATAGGGGCATTAAGGCTTACCCTTTAATCAGCTAGCCTATTTTAATTTGATTTTGAAGGTTTTCAAACCCCTGCCCCTCCTTTGACCACAGCTCTATCCAGTAATACTAATACCCCCTCTTCTACGATTACGAACAACTCAAACCATTCCAAAATAACTACCCAGGTTATTACTCAACCTTTAGAAAGCACCCCTTCCTCTTCCCCAAATTCTTCTCTTCATTTCTTGCTGCACAGCCCTGTTCAATGTCTACCCTTCTTCCCTTATTACTACTCTTCATCCTTATTGTCCTTCCCCACACAGAACTACTCCACTCCACACCACCCCATCTTCCTCTCGCCCTCGTCCTTCTACTACCTCTACCTCTGCAAACCTTCTGAGTACTCTCTTTGGCCCAGCCAAGTGGGATCAATTCTTTGTGATTCCCCCCACAGCCCCCTGTTCTGAGAATACACTTCTCTTTCAGCAGTGTCTCCAGAAACAAGCAGGCAAGGTTACCTTTCAGTCGCTCTGATCATTCACGCCTTGTCACAGTCACATCTGAATCCCAAGCTTGTGCACTATCTACCTTAAGTGATCTTACTGGCAAACCTATTCCTGCCAAACCTCAACCCTCTCTTAATACTTGTACTGAACTGTTTCTATTCCCCCAAATGCTTATCTACAACAAGGACTGGTCAGAATGTGAAAATGACCTACTTTCCTGCCTTGCTGAATATGATGCAGTGGCAGTACAACGTTACACTATTCCTCCCAGAGGCCAGCGTAAGTCCCATATCAATATTGCCAAGATTATCTTCCATAGACAAGACCTCCCCATGAGGTTTATATTGGTGGATTGTCTTATCATGTCCAACAATATCGACCCCTTCCTCGTCAGTGTCAGAAATGTTGGCGATTTGGCCACCTAGCCAAACATTGTCACTCCACAGCCCGCTGCCCACTATGTGCCCAACCTGGTCATGACCGTTCAAATTGCCCTGCTCAGTCACATCTATGTCCCAATTGTGGAGCCTCCCATAATGTATTTTATAGGAGTTGCCATACCTATAAGCTCGATTGTGAGGTAACAGTCCTCAGGTTTAAACTGGGCCTCACTCTACGTGAGGCCAAAAAAGAAACACGATGACAAGGTTTTTCTCTCTCAACTTATTCCAAAACAGTCCTTTGTTCTGCTCCCCCACCATCTTCACAAGATATTTCTATATCTCCCCAAGTATCTCTCCCCTATAGCCTAAATCTATGTCCTACATCTACTCACCCTATTCCCAATCAAATTCATTTTCCCTTCCAAATTCAGATACTCCAATCTGTACCACTTCCCCGATACCTACCCCTTCTCCTCACTTTATTTGTCGTACCAGATAACCTCAATGTTCCACTCCACCCTCTCCTACTACAGTCTCTCCTACACCTTCCTCTTCCTCTGTTCCTCAGATCTCCTCCTCATAAGAGAGCCTTGTTTCTCAGTCCTCTTCACCCAACTCTCCTCCAGAAACCCTTGAAGACATCCAAAACTTCCTAAAGATGACCCAAGGGAACACTCTGCTCCTTCATCCATCCCCCAATCCCTCTGTTCCTACTCCTACATTTGAAGTATTTGCAGATATCCATCCACCTCCTCAAATTCCCTCCACCCCCCTTCCTCCTACACCCTCCCAACATACCCTACCCTCTCTACCGCTCCCACTTGAATACTCACACGAATCCTCCCTATCACAACTGTGTCCTTCTCCAGACCCCTCCCCTCCAGACATTCTTCCTGATATTTCACCACCTTCCCCAGTCCCCCTTTCTCATCCCCTGGATTCTTCTCCTCCTACTTCTCCAACAGCCACTTCTGTTTTCCATGAACAATTTCCCTATTCCTTCCCCAGTCACAGATACACTGCAATTCACTTGGTTGCTCTACCCCCTTATATTCCCCATACTTCATCCTCTCAACCAGCCAAACGAACCCCCTGCCCCGAAACCCATTCTTTTCCACATACCTCATCCTATCAACCACCATACCCCCCCCCCCCCCAAAAAAAAAGAGAAAAAAAAAAACATCCTTCCCCACTATCCCTCCCACTCCCTCCTGGATACACACATGAATTTCTTTTATCACAATACCCTTTCCCAAATTCTACCTTCCCTATCGAATCCCAGGACACTACTCCTTCACCTACTCTTGATCCTTTATCTCAACCCTCAGATACCTAATCCCTTACTACTAAGACGACCATATCTACCGTTATCACCTATTATCCTTATGCCTTCCCCAGCCACAGATAGAATGCAATTCACTTAATTGCTCTACCTCCTTAACCTTTCCCATTTTACTAATGCCTGCTCTACTTAATTTACTTCCCTCCTTTTCCTTTTCGTTACCATACTTTCCTATAACACCCTCTAATATTTGACATCTACGACCTTCCCCTCTCCCCGGATTATTATTCTCCTTTTCAACAGCTATCTCTATTCTTCCTTTAACATTTTTTCCATTCCTTCGCCATACCTTCACTCAATCGCCCTACCTCCCTAACCCTCCCTTTTCTATTAATTTCTGCTCTAGTTCACGCTTCCCTTTTTTCCCTTTTCACTACCATACTCTTCTATAATGCTGTCAAACCTTTGACATCTAACACATTTCATCATAATCTTTAACTCTCCCTTGCCTTTCCTGACATAATACTTTACCATAGTGCTATATGACCTTTGATGTCTAGCACATTTATTTTCAAACATTAAAAATTAAACTTTTTCCTTCTCTTCTCCAACCCCTTCTACTATCCTCTTCCTAAGGTGTGAGAGCTGTGTTAAATGGATGAAAGGCTGACTTTTTCCCATTCATGAACAGGGGACCCATGGGCACAATATTTCCCTATTTAGTTGTCTAGTCCTCACCCCTCAAGGGGACCCTGAGGGGTGGACCATTTCTCTCCACACCATACTTCAGGTTTACCATGGCCAATAATGAATATTTGTAACCCCTATTAGGTGCATTTTGGTTTGCCCCTCTATCAACTAGCCTCACTGATTCTAATTCTGCTGGTTCCCTGACCCCAGGCTCTCCTTTGACCACGACTCTGAACACTACTTCTACCTCCTTCTCAATGCCTACTGTCTGCAGTACTACTTCACACAGCACAGCTCCCTCTTCCACAAGGCCCCATCCTTTTATTGCCCCTACCTCTACAAATCTTTTAAGTACTCGGTTTAGCCCAGCTAAATGGATTCAATTTTTTGTGACCCCCCATACAGCCCCTTACTCTGACAACACACTCCTCTTCCAGCAATGCCTCCAAAAACAAGTAGGGAAAATTTCCTTCCTGATCATTCCCACTTAGTCACAGTTATATCCAAATTACAAGCTAAAGCATAAATAACCCCAACTTACTTCACTGTTAAGCCCATTCCTGCCTAGCCTCATCCCTCCCTGAATATTTATATAGAAATAGTCTCCATCCCCCAAACAAACTGCCCTGTCTATAGCAAGGTTGTGGAAAAGACTTACTCACCTTCCTCGTGGACCACTTCCCCTAGGGGCTGCCATAAGTCTTGCACCAACATTAATGTTTACATTGGCAGAAAGTCTCTCCCTGTCAAACCATAACAACCTCCCCAATGTCAGTGACAGAATTGTTGGTGTTTAGGCCACCCTGCTAAACACAGATTCAAACTTTATGCATGGCCAGAGAGAAAGCATGTCAATATTATTTTTCTCTGACTCCCTACTCCAGTGCTACCCTTCACTTTGCCCCTCCCCCTTCCTCACAAGATTTCTAGATTTCTAAATCGACACCCTAATCTCTACCACTGCCCCAACAACTACCCTTCTTGTTCCTCACTCTACCCATAGCTGACCTAACCATTCCACACCCTCTCCACCTACCTTTTCTTCTACCCCTCAGATGCCTATCTCCTTTTCTCTTTGTCATAAGAAAACCTTTATTTCTCAGACCTCCCCAATCAAATCCACTTCTGAAATTCTCAGACACTCAAAACTATCTAATCATGACCCAAGATAACATGCCTACACCTCAACTAACCTCCAGTCTCTCTGCCCCCATTCCCTAAACATTCAAAGTAACAGCTGACATCCATCCTCCTCCTTTTCATGTCTACATCATCCCCTCTTCCTTCCCAATTATCCCTTCCACTTTCCCCTGGATACACTTGTGATTCTTTGTCACAACCCCCATTGCCTGGATTTTCTTCCTCCTGACATTTCTTCTAAAACTATGATCTAATTACCCTTAACCCGTAGCCGACGGGTGGCATGTACATGCATGCCATGGCTGTTGTGGACCGAAACACAGATGGCATCGTATCATGCCCATTCTCGCGCCACTGGCTCGTCAGATGGAGTTTGTTTTTCTCCAATAGTAGCGGCTTCATTTATATGGTAAACATTTTAGGCAATGGCACTTATAATGAAGGTAAACCTTCAATATTATAATATTTTTATGAATTATAGCTAAAGAAAAGCTTTTAGGTACAAAATGTCACTCACAAACTACCAATTGAGCTGGGAAACTGCCTATGCGCACCAACAATCCCGTCCTTACTTCCACTTGCCAAACATTTTTACCCATCAGCACTGGGTTAAGCCCCTTTCTCCTTGCAGATCTCTACCTACTCTTTGGACATCCTTGCAAGATGCCACACCTCCTTTTACTTATCCTCTCTACCCTCACCCCTCTTTGACCCTTTCAATGTCATACTACCCTGAACTGCTACATGAATTTAGAGTGTAGCTCATTTAATCATTAACTAACCCCCTTCTTTACCCTTTTCACTACTGCACCTTTCTGTAGTGCTATATGACCTTGATGTTTAGAACATTTATTTTGCTTTGTAACCATTAATTCCTTCATTATAAGTGATATAAGCATTGTAATAAGAAAATAGAAATAAAAGTACTTATGACTTTAATTCATCATTGGTAACCTTGAAGCAAACCATCAGGCCATAGAAATTCACAGGATGTGATATGTGTAGGCTATACTTGTCTCATGCATGTATCTCAATTCATTATGACAGACATCAGAAAATTTTGAATGAGGATGAATAACATCACAAAAAAGATGTCTTGACATTGTCTTCATCAGATACATTCAAGCAAGATTATAAAGTGTACATACATCAGTCAAAACCTATAGAGTTTCCTGATATTCATGACCTCATCATAATTATTTATGGAGAGGTCATTTATGTTGGGTGACTCTCCACATTTTGACAGGTAAGTTCTCAAATGGTGTCAGACACACAGATACTTATTTTCAGTTTCTAGAAATCTCTTTGAGTAACAGGAAGACCTTATCATAAAATGCCAAAATTGTATGTTACTCATGACAACCAAATAGCACTGACTGTTTTGTGAAGCTTGATTATATATGTAATGTAGGATGACAGCAGTCATATATTAATACATTGTACAACTCGTTTAAAAGTTCTTTACCTGATTGCTGGAATATATCTATCTCTGTTTATATATTTACTGTCAGGTAGAAGACAATAACCATTAACCATGTACCGTAAAGAAGAGTCATTCAGGAAACTTCTTGACATATTCCCATTCATAAGAGCTTGGGGTGCCCAAGATATTTTAAATACCTCGGAACACACCATTAATACCCAATCCCTCAAAACAGATAATGATGCAGATTTGCATCATTGGCAATGAAGGGTTAAGGGATCAAGCTTACTTCAGAATTTGGCAGATTTTTATAGGTAGCTGGATCCAGTAATTAACTAGTCATGGTCAGTTTTATATCACAAACTCCATCGCTCGCAAGGGCTAGCTCGGTGTCTTCTCTCGAAGGACTTTTACTTGGCAGGTAGAGACTGTTACCCCGAGTGGATGCCTTCCTATCCTCGGACTGTAGCAGGGCTCAAACCTGGTTCACTTGAAGACCCTACTGGTCCTCAGCATAACCACTGTACCACGGCATCCCCTAAAATTTAACTCTAGTAATAATGTTATTTTTCTTGCTCTATACTAGCATTTTCCAGTAACATGTCTCTTGAAATTAAAATTCCACTGTTAACATTGTTTATTTGCTTGGTTCAAAATATTTTTCCTTTTCCTTTTATTAATATTTCACCATGATTTAATGCATCTTTCTTTCTCTCTTTTCAGGTGATGTGGATAATCCTATATTCCGGTTTACATTATGACTGACATTACCCTAGACAAAATATTTTTTAGACCATACATTTTCAGTGTTTTATGAACAAGAAAGGGGATTTCACAGTTGAACTTGGTTTATAAAGCAGATTATGATTTACTATCAACACTGTCATATTTTCTGGTATGCAGTGTTGCTAAAAGTTCATTTTATAATGTTAAATTTGTAATAAAAAAAGAAAAAAAAATTCAGTAAAGTCCAAGGACATAAATGCTTACTGGTTTAAGCATGATAATTTTTGTATCAACAAACAGTGATATGTTATTGTTGGATCTTAAAAGGGATGATATTGCTTTGCCAAAAATTGTGAAAATATCATTCATTACTTAACAACTACACTTGTTACAGTAGTGCCACCCAGAAGTTCAGTAAGGAGTTAATAGATGAAAGCGTTTTTTGGATATTGATTGGACATGAAAACTAATCAGATCTGGAATTCTCCAGAGATTGGTGCTTTAGAGTATTATTATATTTTATTTATATTATTCTTTTTTGTGGAAGAGTATGCTTTTTATTGTGACATTTGGGAATACCGTTGCAATATTTTCTATAAACAAAAAAAGTGAGGAGAAAGTAATTTGTCTTGGTCACAATTTATCTCAGCCTCACAGTTTCTCATAAAAACAATTGTATATTTTCACTTGTTTGCAAGCAATATATTTATATGGATTACTATTGTTAGACAGCAATATATGAATTATGACTTAATTTTTTTTTTCTGAATATACAGTGGTACCTGAAGTTTTCTTGTATCCAGCAATTTTCATTTCAAGTAATATGATGATGATCAGACTTTATCACAAAATTATAATAAATAACTCATTTAGAAATCAGGACTTCAATCAAAATGTCTTTTGTAATATCAGACCATTTTGGGATTGATTGGATTCTGTTGGAACATGATATTTGATGTTTTCTAAAATAATTGAAATTGCCTTGAATTCTTTCTATGACATTTTTATGAAATAAATAATGCGGAAATATGATCTTTATTCTTTCCTTTTGGAGATATTGAAAATTATTGAAATTTGTAGGAATCATAAAGGTTACTATTGGAATATAAACAAGTATGCAGGCAAAGGTTTAGTTAAGAAAATATCATAAATTGAAATCCTCAGTCAAGGACTGCAGCATACTTCATAGGATAAAAAAATTTTTAGCTCAAAGTTTTTGTGTTTGCCATTGCATTTAAGCTTTTCACACCATTCACAAAAACTCCTGTTTATTTTTCATACACTCTCCTGACTTATTAGAGCAGTTTGTGTATTTTTTTCTTTAAAACTCTTGGATTTTTCTCCCCATGGAAGGATAAGCCAGAGAAATCAATTGCTTAATCAACAAGTTTATGATATTTTTAAGTGTTTTTGTTTTTCATCCAAGAATGGTAAATAACTTAAGAGACAACTTTGAAATATCTACTGGAGACGGGAAATTAAATTCAGATTTTATGATTAAATCTTTGCCGTCCCTGTACTACCTGTGCATTTATTTAAGGTACTACTCAAAATAGTGACTGTCATTTCAATTTGTATAATATTTGTTGCAGTTACAGGCAAATTATGTCATGTTGACTAGACATAATTTAATAACAACTTTTATATCAACAACTTTGATACTTTTATAATTACTATAAGTGCTAAGTTGCTATTTTAGGGCTACCAATGTCAAGTTAGTGTGTTGTTGCAACAGAAAATTATATATTTTTGTATACATTTTGCATTTTATATTATATGAAGCAGAAAAAAAGCTCAGGGCAATTCTCCGTTCTTTTTATTATTATTACTTAAATAGAAGAACACTGGAATAAACGCTTTTCTTAATTATTTAACTCAATGATTGCTGCTTTGCTGCTTTACAAATAGGAAAATTCATTTACACTAACTAAACCATTTATTTTATTGTCATTTTGTTTCATGAAGAATTTACACAGAATTCATGTTATGGAGACACATCCATTAGTATTTTAGGTACTAACCCGAGCATCATGTCACTTAATACCACTGTCTTCCTTCTATATTTGTCCTTTAACTACTTTGGCCTGTACAGATCTTTTGAGTATTTTTCAGCTTAGCTAAGTGGGGTTATTTTTTCTGATTCCACTACAGCCCCTTATTCTGACAATACCCTCCTATTCCAACAATATCTCATAAACCAGTGGGCAAAGTGTCCTTCTGCAGCAGTTTTGATCATTCACTCCTTGTCACAGTTACATCCAAGTCTCAGACTCATGCACTAGCTACCCTGACTTGCCTCACTGACAAACTTATTCCAGCCCAGCCTCACTCCTCCCTTAATATTTGTACTGGAACTCTTTCCATCTTCCTTTTGTCTATGATAAAGATTAGTCAGACTGTCAAAATGACTTGGTTGCCTGCCTCGATGACCATAATACAGTATCAGTACAGCACTAGACTATTCCCCCCAGAAGCCACCAAAAGTCCTACACCAATATTACTGAAATTACCTTCCATAGACATGAGATCCCATGGCGTTTACATTGGTGGAGAGTCTTGCCATGTCTGACCATAACCATAACCCCTCTCCCATCTATTTTGGAAAAGTTGGCATTTTGGCTACCCTGCCAAGCACTGTCACGTCATAGCCCACTGCCATCCATGTGCCCAACTTGGCCACAATCGTTCAAATTGCCCAGCACAATCACGCACATTTGCCAGTTGTGGAGGCTCCCATTTTGTATTTTATAGGGGAAGTCTTACCTACAAGTTAGAGTCTGAAGTGCAGTCCTCATATTCAAACTAAGCCAGGCAGGAAGCATGCCACCAAGGTTTTTCTCCTGCTGCCTTATCCAGTGCTGCCCTGCACCCCAAATCCATCCCTCTCTCCCCCTCATAAGAAATCCTTAGTTTTCAGACCTCCCAACAACAAGACATTAAAAACTGTCGTCATGACTCAAAATAACATGCCTATACCTCATTCATCTTCCAGTATCTCTGCTCCCATTCCCTCTACACTCAAAGTGACATCCATCCCTCTCAGCCTCATTGCTTCCTCCCATTCCCTTCCAATACTTACCATCCCCCTGCTTCATCTGCATCACCTCCCCTTCCTCCTATTATCCCTTCCACTCCCACATGGATACACACGTGACTTTCTTTTGTCACAACAATACCCTTTCACTGGATCCTCCCCCTCCTGACATTTCTCCTGAAACTGCTCTTTGATATAATCGCCCTTAACATCGCCTTTCTTCTTTTGCTAATCCCTTACCTTGTGGACATCCTTGCAGAATCCCTCTTTTTTCTTTGACAACTTCTCCTTCCTCAGATGCATATGTATCCTCCATTTGATCTATCAGCCTTTTGCTAGTTCTTATTTTAACCCATTTACTGGCCCTCTTTACCCCCACCCTTCTTTACTCTTTTCAGTACCATACTATCCTAAACTGTAGTATGACTTTTGATGTGTAGCCCATTTAATCATTAACTCAACATCCTCTTTACCATTTTCATTTACTGAACCCTTCTATAGTACAATATGACCTTTGATGTCTAGAACTTTTATTTTGCTATTTATCCATTAACCATTATCTTATGTATTAAGGTATGATACGATAAGAAGGGTTTCCCTCTTGACTCCTTACATGATACCCATATAGTTATATGAATAACCCTTTCCAGTTCACTGTATTATGTAAAAAAAGACACTTAAATAAGAAATCAATGTCTACAAATAGCTATGCTTTAAATGTAAATTCATTTTCATTTTTTAAATATATTCTGTCTATGTAGGCATGGTGTGAGTGTAAGTGTGTGCATGTATGAAAGAAACTGACACACAGAGATAGACTGCAAGTTCTACTGGCATCAAGACTTCAAAGAAATTGCTTATTTATTTATTTATTTTTCATAAGAGAATGACATTTTGAGGTCATATTTTCCTACTGACCTGTTTATGCAGGTTTTTGACATATCGAGTCCCTGGCAGATGATTTACCTACTCATTCGCAGATGAATTTTCCTCTTGGCACATGACTTAACACTTGGCTGTGGTGAATCAACTAGTGGATCATGATTATTTACCCCGTTCACTCAGTCTCTATATAAGATATGTGCTTGATAAAGGCTGGTACTGAGTGAATGTGACACAATTCGTGTATATTATTAAAGATATATAAAATACACTTTGCCCTTAAACTCCCCTTTCTCCTTTTGCTAATCCCTACTTTATGCTAAAGGCATCTTCCTTTGACAACTCTCCTCTACCTTAGAGTATTTATTCACCCTCTCTACCCTCACTTTTCTTTGCCCCAGAACTGCTATATGACTTGACATGGCACAACTAACCCCTCTCTTTCCCCTTTTCACTACTACATTTCATAGTTCGATGTGACTTCTGATGTCTAGCACGTTTATTTTGATTTGTAACCTCTAACCATTTAAGTTTGACTGCTGGTTCAGTACATTTGAACCTGTACAGGGTGAATAATGCAGCACAAAATGTCTTTGCTAAATTATCACAATTTATTTTTAGAAAACTTCTTACTAGCAATAATATTTTTTCTATTAATCCTGTTCTTTTTTTTTTTTTTTACTTTAGGCTCAGGTTTATATTGCATATGAAGGTTGTCACCTGTTGCAAATTATTAGTGAATTAATCATTATGTAATTTATTTACATTCTTTTACACATTTGTGGAAACCAATGCCCTATATCTGCATAAAGAACCAGCATAATCTCAATTTTCCAGCGGTAAACATTTAAAATATATTTCCATTTAATTAGTCATCCAATTTAACTTTAATCTCAATCTTAAATTCATTCCTGCACTTTTCAGTCATTTTTCTCTCCTTTGTCTTTGCTATGAACATGATTCTTTAATAAATAAAATTTTCCCCAAATGGAATGGTTACTTCCATCTATTCATAGTGCACTGAATGTACCAAGACTAGTTATATTTTTTCACAATTTCATTTCCCAATTATAGAATCAGAATCAAGTGTTTAGCAAAAATTGAATTACCAAGGTCTAATTCATGTACTCCTTCACAAATATATTCTTCCACTTGTACAAAATATCACAAATGTAGATTGTAACCTTTTAGTATGGGTCATTTTGCATGGTTTATGTCCCTTGTGTGATAAACCTAAAAACAAAGTTGGTTTGCCTAAAATTAGTTAAATATCATACCACAAAATAGGAATATGAACATTATAACCAAGTTACTTTGAAAGGCTGATGTAATCAGTGACCCAAACTGTATATATTAACGCCTAATGCCCTTTTCCCACAAAATTATTCTAAAAACTATTACAATTATTCATGGGTGGGGGAATAATGCTCTTTTGATGTATAGAGGCTACTGGTGCAGTTTTCTGGAAGTCAAGGTTTCCATCATAAAAAGCTTCTTAATTATATCTATACATTCTTTTATTTCAATTGGAGAAAAAATACTACAGGAACACAAAACAAGGAGGAATCCTGTCATTCTTGACCTAGTTCTATTGCCAAGCTACGAGGCAATAAGATTACTCAAGAAAGAGGAAATGATATGACATTTGTTTAAAGGGAAAAGAGAAATTACGTAAATTAATAAAGATAAAAGAAAAAAACATATAAATGAACTGATGCTCACAAAATGTGGAAGAAATCCGTGAAAAAGTTAAGAAAGGGAGAAACAAAGACAGATAATGACGGGAAGACCAAGACAATGAACGATAAGTGCATCCAAAATAACTACTGAAATTGTTTACAACTCCATTTGTATTGAATTACTAGGTCATTCTATTAAAGGTTTTGTTTCAAGCTGATGACCTAGGCTGTTAAGGAAAATAAAATCTGCTGCACACAAGGTTAGGATTTTAAAAGATAATTTTGTTATACAAAACTTTACAGGCTGGAGTACATGAAAATATATTTCAAACGAAGCTGAATACGGGCAATTCCAATTAAGTTTTATATATGTACTGGGCATGCAATAAATCGCAGATTATCCGGGGTAAAGAATACTATCACACAGAAATCTTAAATTTGTAGATTTTGAAGGCAGAAATCATTCTCATAATAACTGTATACTTTGTCATACCTGAAGCTTAAAATGCTGAACTTTAAGTCTATATCCACATGTGCAAAATATAAGTCTGTATGAAAAAACAACATCCATTGCTGTAGGTTTCAACATTACACAGTAAGTAGGGAATTTAAGAACTAAGTTGTATACACAATTATTAGGAGAGCTGCCTCTTATTCCTGAAAGGCACAATATAATACTTTGGAAAAAATAATTTTCTTATACAACTGCCAGAATTACTTCAGTCCTCCAGAGATGCTCACTGAAGTAGAGATTATGCTTAGTAATTTATAATTAGCACTCTGCATGGAACTGTTGAAAAAATCAACTGTGTTTGCTTTCATGAAAATATTTAGAAAATAAATCTTTATAAAAGTTTACAGTACAAACTAAGGGGTTAATAATCTTTGGATGTAAATAGCTTCCAATAAAAACTGCATACATCAGTTGTGTAAATAATCACGAGTCCTTATACTGTTATTGGAGAGGGTGGTTATGTACACAGTATGTAATCAGTCTAAACAGCTCTAAGATTTATAAGTGCTTGGAGTGTAGCTTGACCAAAAATGTATCAATCATTTCTAAGGCCATGCTGCAAAATCAGATGGCAATAATACAGAAAATTTGAGCTGCCTCAACATTCTGACCAAAATGAGAACATCAGCTTATCCGAAACTTGTAGGACATAATTTGTTACATGTCTCTAATTTTTGCTGACAATCATGGCAAACATTTTAAATGTTGACATTTATGATGTCAAGTTAATTTCATAGGTGTGGGTACACACAAAGGAAATAATCAAACCATTTAAACAATGTACACGATATATTTCACTTTTATCAGATTGAAACCAAACAGTAAAGCTTTTCCAATATTGTATAAAGCCGCTAATATTCTGATGGATTACTAGCAAATTTAATCTTAAAATGACCCTAGAGTTGACAGGACTCAAAATGCATACATATATATCACATCTCTTTTGAGAACTTAACTAGATATTGGATTTTGCATCCCTAGGGCTATTTTCAGATGAAGTCTATATCCTTACATGGTAAAGAGTGGCATGAAAATCAGTAGAAAACAATAATGAATGATATACTGAATAGTCATTGGTAAATTGCAATATTATGAAGTGTTGCACTGTATGGCAACATTCACCACTTTCTGAAGAACAGTTTGCTGTGATGGAGGTGGTAGGTGGTGACTGGCAGTGAGAGATGGGGGTTCTGGGATGGAGGTTATAAATCATCAGTACCACTCATCCTTACAAGAGCTGCTGCTGTCTTGTAGTGGCTCTACACATCCTATGTCTCACTTTTGGGTTATGCTAGGTCTGGTTTATATAACTGTTTATAGCATGACATAATATACAGAGTAAAGTTATGTACAAGTATGCCGTTTGGTCTGGGCATAAAATATCCAAATCCCTTTTTATTTTATAAGCTATTAGTTGACAGCAGGGCAGAAATCAGGTTGACAATTAGCACACTAACACCACATCAAACTGTAGGCTTTACCAGAATTTAACATTTAAAGATTTACAGAAGACTGAGAGGGAACATCTCCATAGCATATTCTTCTACATGCCTTTTTCTATTATATGACCACTAAACTGTGGTATATCATTCCACTTCAAGAAGGCTTATTACATCACAAGTGCACAAGAAGTGTGCAACCAAATGGGTTTCAAAAATTCCAAGTAATTTAAATCTTCGGCTAGTTATCATGTTGCAACCAATAGAGACAAAACTGTCCCCCTCCCTACCTGACACAAGCCTCTTGGGTCCCTTAATAAGCAACTTGTGCGTAGTAACCTGTACATGGGGTTAACAAACTACAAGCTACTAAAGGTACAAAATATCCCCCATGTATTCAAGTCAAAATGATCAACCTAGAATTTACTCAACATTTGGAGGCCTAGTACAAACTTTAAAATGTACTCATAATGCATTATATCTTACATATGGTATGAATTGTTACAATGAGGATGGATAGTGGAATCTGTCTCTCACATACAAAGAAATTGTTCTCCCAATGTTTATATATATATATAATTATTTCCACAACTTTGTGCTTAACAAAATAACACTTCGACTAGGGTAACTTTGGAAATTCACTGATAGTCAATAAATTTTAATATCAAGAGAGACAATTATATAAAAAATAATAATAATAGTGCACAGCAGTTATGCCTACATTATTCATTTGCAGATCAACAAGGTCTAAAACCAGTGTATCATATAACCATCCAAATATAGATTGATCTTGGAACTATAAAAAAATGTGCCCAAAATTAACAGATCAGTAGCTTGATGGAGCACACTTCCTATCAAGCTAAAAAAGAAGAGAAAATTGCAAATGTAAAACAATCAAAACAATGAATAATAATATGCTATATAACAAAAAATAAACTATCTTTATATCATAAGTTAGTAATAGCCAAATGTGTAAGACTCGTAAAACAGAAAATGACAAAAGTAAAATTGGGTACTCAATAATAATCGTAACTGATAAAAATATAAAATCAACAATAATGATAATAATAATATACTCCAAAGGAAAAAAAGAAAAGTTCATTCAAAACTGTGTGAATAATAATAATGATAATAATGTGAATTGTTTACCGGAACTTCATTACACCACCTGGTCACACGTCCATTCTATGGTGTGTAACATAGTAACAAGTTTGCGTGTGGCACCAGCCTTTTTTTTTTTCTTTACTCTGAATTTTGTTTCTATTACCAAGACATGCAAGATTTTTGCCTTTTCACACTGATTACACTTCCAGACTTGTATTTAAAGTAGAGATAAGAAATTATGCTTTAATCATATACACGGACACACATGCACTCACGCACATTGCTTTTCACTTCCAAACACTTATACACATTAGCTCTTCAATAATATTCCTAGGAATGATTACTTTACTGCATGTCTTGGCAATAGAACACAAAATCATAAGTTACACCTGAGAGGATGAAGGCATAACATCCAGCCATTCTTTACCTAGTCTTATAGTGAGTAAATATCCAACCTTATAAAAGGCAACACTTCTTCTTATTATTTTCCATTTAACTTTTGGGGGATTTGCGGTTAATCTGCCGGACTAAGTCATAGAAGATCTCATTGACATTGATCTTAGCTTTTGCAGATGATTCTAGGAAGGCGCAAGAGAATGACTTGGCCAGGTTGAGTCCCTGGTCTTTCCCAACGACACGCTCATCCTCCAAGTCACACTTGTTACCCACTAGGATCATTGGGACGTCATCTGTGTCCTACAAGAAAAAGAAGAAAAAAATCAGTAGGGATAACTTCATAAAACTGAAAATCTGATAGAAATATAACGAAATGAACAAGCCATCATTGTTGTGTTGTGTTCAAAGTCTCATGATTACATCTGCAACTAGTACCACATTGTCTCAGGGATAAAACCATAGTATGATCACAGATTTTGTTCATACACAAAAGCTCCCTAGCCTAATCTGTGACTCAAATTCAACAGCTTATGGACTTTGATTAAATAAACAATCACACTTTGTCTTGTTCATTCTGAAAGTCCATCACAGCTATAAGAGATCTTATAAAACAAAAGAAATTTCTTTATTATTATTTACCTTGACTCTGAGAATCTGTTCACGTAGATCTTGTAAATCATTGAACGTACTTTGTGCGGTGATACTGTACACCAAAACAAAGCCCTGTCCATTCTTCATATAGAGATCACGCATTGCTGTGAATTGTTCCTGAAATTTAAGAAATCTTGAGTACCATAATTACATTCTAAAAAAAATTCTAAGTCTTGTATAGTAAACATTCACCTACCATCTCATCCACACACATGCACTCACTCACCACACCTACATCCACATAACTCACACCCTTGCCCCACATGCTTGACACCACGCCCACCTCGCACTTTGACTCTTGCACCCACTCCATCGCGAGCGTCACTGCGCGCCGCCACGAACCTGCCATCCAGCTCATGACACCACACCTCTGCACTCTAATGCACCCAGGGCCTGCTCACCCTCAGAACCGCAAAAGTCTTGGGAGCACCCATCGCCAATCACCCCACCCCGGGGAATTTACGGGTTTGTGGGGGGGAGGGGGAACATCGACCGTCATGCCACACCAGACGCACAATCGCGTCACTCCAAAAACTCATCACACTCGCATGCGAGTGTTGAAGTGGCCACCCAGCGACCACAGGGACCACGAGGGATCGCGAGCGGTGAGGGGAGGGAAAAGGAAAGGGGAAGGGGTAGTAGGCGAAGGTAGGAGAAGGTGCACTCATAGTGCACGTCAAAGGAATCACACATGGGGAAGGAAGTGCACACGTTCAGTCGTCACGGAGGGATGGGCGCAGTTATAATTAAGTGCGAGCATGCAGACGTGATCGAACTCACATTGGAATGGCACGATAGACAACGAATCATAAAGATCTGTCAGCGTATCGAGCGATAACATTACACAGTCAATTAAACTTCGAGCGTGCGAGCGGCGAGCAGATAAAGGCAAATCGCTTGCACAGTCAAGAAACTCACACTCACTTGGTCACCCACTTAGCAAGCGAGGCCAACTGACACACACTACAGTAACAGGGAAAGGCCACAGAGTGGAGAACCACGCAGAACCAACTCACGACATGCAATCACCCCAACACCGCACAGCAGATCTCAGCATCTCAAGACGTCACTCATCGTTCGAGCCTCTACGCGCAACAGCGCGCAACCTTCCCAACTCACTCACGATCACCCACCCACCAAGCCCAACTCACTCACTCTACTTTCCCACTATGACCACCTCAAGCCACAACTCCACTCAGTACATCACGCGCGAGCGCCACCAAGCGCGCAGAGCGCGCTGACATCCACAACCCACACATACCTCGATCCCACACATCTCACTCGAATTCTCGCACCAACCAAATCACTCACTTACCACCAAACGAACCCTAACTCAATCTCGACAAGCAGATAAGTCTACCGCGCACCAACCATGAACTCAACTATCAACACACCCACCAACAAGCCAACTTATCGGACTCACAATCTCCACACCTAACTCCTAACTTCACTACACTCACATCGAGCGACAAAACCTCAACTCACTTCACTCGACCAGCCTAAGACGCACAACTCGATACTCACTCACCCACCAACCCAACCCAACTCACTCACGACCAGTGACAAACCTCACACTGCGTACTACACCTCACGCACACCACACCCCAACTGCGACATCACACTCACCCACGCATATCCAGCGCCAACCCACTTTCACTCACCCACCAAGCTCCAACTCACGTCACTCACAACACCACCCGCCCAACTCACTCACATCATCACCCATCGCAACACCAACTCAAGCTCACTCACGGTCACCCACCAACCAACTCTACTGTCGAGTACTTCACCCACCAACCCAGAACTCTACATCTAGCTCCACCGTTTCACATCCACTTTTAACATTCAGTTCACCACACACTAAACACACCAACACCCAATCACTCCAGCTCTCATCGTACACTACCACAAACCAACTCAATCTCACTCACTCACCCACCAACCCACTCACTTGCACTCACTATCGACTCGACGATCACTCAACTCCAACTCACTCACATCACGTCACCCCCAATCCCAACTCCACTCAGCCTCATCGGTCACCGCACGCGAAGCGCGGCAACGTGCACTCGACTCACAGGAGCCATCCCACGCCACTGGGCCAAGCTACGACTGTACATGAGTCCGACAGGCCATCCCCACTCATACTCACTCACTTTCATCTTTTCCACCAATCCCAACTCATCACTCAACGTCCACTTCAATCCCCACTTCTCACGTCTTACTAACCACCAATCCCAACTCACTCATCACCATCAACTTCGCCAATTCATCATTCAACTCACCCACTTATGCTTGAACTGCCCAACTTACCTCACACACTTCACACTTCCAGCGCAACACTCTATATCTCACATCTCACTTCACGCCAACTCTAATCCCGAGAGGCGCTTACTGCTACTCACACTCACCAACCCATCACTTCCCACTCACTCACCCACCATCCAACGCACTCAGACATCTCATCTGTGCTTACACCAACTGTCTATCCAACTTCTATCTTCTAAACGCACTCTGTCCACTCAATCCCAACTCAACTATCACATCACTACCATCTCACCCAACTCACCACTCACTTCACCATATCCACTCTACTCACTCACCCACCAACCTCAAACTCACTTTCACTCATCTCACCTCATTCTCTAACCCGATACTCACTCACTCACATATCCACCAACCCACTCACTTCACTTTCACCCACATTCTAACCTCTAATGTCACTACTCACGGGACCACCAACCGCATACTCACTCATCTGCGAGCTGCATCTGCGTAACTTGCCTATATCTTACACTTACTCATCCCACATTAACAATGAAACCGAACTCACGTTGGACTCACGCCACCAGAGCGAGCCAACTCGTACTTTACTCACCCACCAACCCAACTCAACTTACTCACCCACACCAAACCAACCAACTCACTACTCACCCACCAACCCAACTCACTTACTCACCCACCAACCCAACTCACTCAACCTCACACCCACCACCCAACTCACTTACCCACCAACCCCAACTCACTTACTCACCCACCAACCCAACTCACTTACTCACCCACCAACCCAACTCACTTACTCACCCACCAACCCAACTCACTTTACTCACCCCACCAAACCCAACTCACACTCACCCCAACCAACTCACTTACTCACCACCAACCCAACTCACTCTCACCCACCACCCAACTCACCCAACTCACCAACCCAACTCACTCACTCACCCACCAACCCAACTCACTCACTCACTCACCCACTCAACCCAACTCAACTCACTAACTCAACCACTCAATGTAAAACAATAGCTACAAGTTCTTAAGAGCTGATACATCAAACCCAATAGGCTTGGTGAAAGTTAACATCAAAATACTTTATTCAGAATACACAAAAAAAATATGAAGCAACCAGAATCTATGTTTATCAGAGAATCAAAAAAAGTTACTTGTATCATACCAATTATAGTTACAAAAATAAAGAAAATATCAATTCATATTTATTCACTTCTTATAGCTATTTCTTAATAGAAGAAAACTACCTGAGTGTCTGTACTTACAGTTCCAGCAGTATCAAGGATTTCAAGCATACACTGCTGCCCATCCACTTCCACTTGCTTACGATAAGAATCTTCTATCGTGGGATCATATTTCTCGACAAAGATGCCCTGCACAAACTGAACTGTAAGTGCAGATTTTCCAACACCTCCTGACCCCAACACCACAATCTTGTATTCACGCATCCTCGACACTAAAATAAAACAAAGTATTTTAGTAACGTGAAATCGTAAAGGACATTCTAATAATCTTTATATGAGATACTTCTGTGCTTCAGACTTGCACATGATTTGAGAAAAAAGTTATACTGCTCCATTTGTATGAGAGCTGAACTTTGTTTACTATTGAAAATCAAATATCCACTATGTATGAAAGATAAAGAATCATTAGAAGTGATTACTGTATTTTTTGAGAAAAGGAAAAAAAGGAACATATTACTCCAAGGTGTCGACATGACTAACACCATTCAAAAAGGATATTAGTCTAATTTAACTACTAGTATATCTTTAATGAAACCATCTTTAGATCTCTGGAACAAAAAAAGTTCAATAAAAATCTGTCAACTTTCATTTGATAAGACAGGATCTGTTCATAGGTTCTCACACTTCAGGTTGGTTGTGCTTATACCCAGGCACTCAAGCGCAGTATCATATATTAACACTAACAACACTCTATATAACCCTACTAGTATTTCTCTAAATACAAATAATACAGGCACATACTGGTATATCCTTGCATGCTGTTGGAGCACTGTCAACACTGAATCACTCTTAGGCACACTTGTCACCAAAGCCAACCTCTTACTGAACAGCAGCAGCAGCAACAGGGATCCCCCTTGTCCTTGCCCCTCATGACACAAATATTCCCCCCACTCTGCCCCACCCTTCTCACCAGGGCCTGGGCACTGCTCATTAATCCCCTCAACCTGAGTGCTGTCAGGTTCATCACACACCATCTCTTTTACAAACTTTCCCCTCCCTTCTCCCTCCTTCTGTTTAACTCACTCATCTCAAATCACTAATGCACACAGCCTGTCTGTCTATCGGTCTGTTTCTGCCATCTGCCTGCCAAAATGTGACTTTTTCTCCCCATAGAATGTCTATATGAACTTTCCTTGTAATATAATCTAGCAAAGAATTACATATAAGTTAAAATAAAGTAGCAAAAAAATCATAAGTCCCTACTGAATAAGAAAGTGAAAAAAACAACTATACTGGCATCTTCAATTAGTCCAAGCCTACGTGTCATAATCATGGAACTACCACCCAGTATAGTCTGGCACCCACTTGCACAACCTGCAGTGTCACCCAGCACCAGCACACATCCAGCACCACAGCTGCCCCCTGGTATACTATTACATACTGCACCAACTACAGAGCCCATCTAAGTACATCATAAAGGGATTGGTTGTGTTACTAGTCTGATATGATAGGACTAAGATTGACATGATATCACCTCTGCTCTACAGTCTACAGTAAACATAGTTAGCTGTCATACCTTTATTTCTTTATAAACAAGTAAATTTCATTCTTGTAATTCAAATCAAAAGTTCACACTGGAGAGGTTACAGTTTTCACGCCACTTGAGGCCAGAATTATAATCAACAACAAATGCACTATATGGTTGTAAATAGCCAAAGAGAGATAAAAGTTCTTTTGAATGCTTTGATATTTCATGTACACAATTTGAATTAAACATTTTCATATCAATGTATAGTGGCTATATTTATGGAGACAGTAATTCAGAGACTGTTGCAAGCAAGCTCAAATACCCACTATTCTTCTATATTACTAGTATTTCTATCAAAATATTTCACTTCTACTACTCCAGAATAAACAGGATATACAATTTACTTTATCTAAATACACAGGTGCATAACAAGAAATTATTGCCATCTACATGTTAGCTATATCTAAAACACACTTCTTTCTGTTATTGTATCATGAAAAATGGTAACTATTGAAAAACATATTGGGTACACTAAAAAGTAAGATAATATTCTCTCTCCCTCTTGATCACGCACACACAAACACAAACGAAATGTTTGGTTCTGAACAGCAGTCTGCAGAAACCAAATCAATAAACCTGCACTCAATGACTTGTGGACTCTCCTATTTGTAGCTGTTTGTCTTGTGTGATCTTTCATTTGTTAATAATAATATATAAATATAAATGTTTTTCTAATCAAAATAATTCATAAATCTAAATCTGAATGTGTGAATTTAAACAGGTACTGTAAAATATGTATAATAAAATAAAAATGTATATGACCTGAAATGTAAATATTTCAGTTAACATTATATGTGTATGCTGTCTGCCTGTCTGTATATACACATGTATAAAACCTCATGCGCACACACATTCATTTGTGTGTACATATGCTTGGTATATACATACACATATACACTTTGAGACAGGACATGTGTAAACTTGTGCACACAAACACACACACACATAAAGTGCAATAGCTCCACCACACACATTCATATATGGTGCATATCATGAAGCATTTAGTTATGGCCTATGCCATCACACAGTCCTATGTACCTGGACCATTAGTTAGGTTGGTTATCAGGGAAGGTGGTGGGAAGGTGAAATCAAAGAGTGGAAGCACATTGCAGTATATTGTATACCAAGTTGGTATGAACACATGCATATGTAAACACATTTTACTGCATCTTTTGTGAATCTATGTTCTATAGAAACAAAGTCCACCAGGCCTTACCCCTCAGAAATAAAACACCATGCATAAATACACACACACACAAACAAAATATTATGGGATGTAAAGAACACTGTGTAAAGATACCTTCTTGTGTTGTAGATTCTTTATTCTGAATTCCTGGGAAACAAATATAAATACCAATGAATATATGTAGAAATACAGAGACATGCATACAGTAAACAACAAATACAGAAATACACTTAGTTTTAGAATTACACCAACACATTCCTGCTTCCCTTGACACATTTAGGGCAGTTTCATGCTACTATTTTCCCAGTATGATTTGTCACTTCAGGTTGAGGCCACAACTATTGCAAATAATGAAATCAATACATTTTTGCAACACTAAATATTTAGTTTCCAGGTCAAATCAAGCTCTTTCTTAAATCTATTTTTTTCTTTCCAATAGAAATAAAAACATTACTAGATGAACCATAATATATAAGACAAGTAATAATTCATAATCTGGATTTTTCACATCTGGTCTCTATAAAGTTTATCTATGTCTAAAGTCTTATGAGTAGTCAGCAATATTCCAACCACCAAACAGATGGGTTCACCACCTAGTAGTACTTCTTTACGGGACCGTCCTAGCGGTGGGGGTGGGGGGGGAGTTGGGGATTTTGGACCAGAGAAGTCGAAAATGAGTTATGGTTAGTTTCATATTCATATATGAGTGTAGAATTACCCATGTGAATATGAACTCCTGCATCAAGAAATTTGGGCAGCATGAGTCTCATTCCCGCTGTGTCAGCGATTTTCACCTTTCCACACACTCGCTTTACAGGAGCAAAAAAATGATGCATTGTATAATGACATTACCTACTGAAATGGATCACAGGAAGATAAGTGTCATTATAACAGTTTTATCCCAAAGTGAAAGATTTATATGAAACACGGAGAAAATAAAAAAAATCCTTACATGACTTTGACATATTCATCATACAAGTATGTTTAGGGTTCATCAAAGATAATACATGAGCAATTATAAGCCTGTATCTCTAAAAATAAACTCACAACGAATAGATATTTACACAGGTTGGGCGCTCGCCCACATCAATGGGCATCTGGGAGGGACCCAAGCAATAAAGCTCCAAGCGTTGCCACCGCTTTAGACTTTTTTAATTGCAATGATTTTACGTATGCGCTATCATTTGAAACTAATCAATGAATTAAACATCATTATATCATTATAAATCCATTTTATGAAAAAAATATTGTAAAGAAAGAGTATATAATTTATTCATTTTGCTGTTATAAAAAAAAAAAATAATTTATATTATAAAAAATAAACCTAAAATGGCCTACAAATATCTGATACCTATTGCTACATCCCAAGATGAAGTGTTCACGATAACCAAATATAAGCAATTTGTATTTCAGACTATCTTTTATCTATCGTTTTCTGAACTGTTATTTCTAACAAACAAGAAAATGCACTGTCCCTCCATAACAAGTACTCCGCTCATGACTGAACTTTTATCATTTGTTTTGAGGCACAATCATGTGGTTAGATGATACAGAAGAAGAGTAGACTGGAATAAAAATAAAATAAATAAATGAAATAAATAATAATGGATCTAATGGGTATATGCGCATATACGCATATATACATGCAAGAACATGTACCTTTACAATAATTTACATGTGTATACATATGTAAACGAATGTATACACAAGAAAACATTAATAAAAGAGGTATAAACATGAAACAATCAATTTTATATAACAGTCATGTTGTCTTGAGTCTGGATTTGCCCCCTTTCCCCAAAAGTAATCTGTTTGTTTCTATAAGTTGGAGACTAATGATCATATCTTTACCTAACAAAGTGTGTCTGAAAGAGAAATAGTAATAGTATCTGAAGCGGTCCCTTTAAGCAAACATTTCTCATCACTCAAAAGATTATAATGCTTGGAAGTTGAGAAAATTAAAGATGTACAAACAAGCTGCTCCTTAATTATTGACCCGCAGTAGTATTCCTGGTCATCTTAAAAAAATCCATAACACTTTCTTATCTTAACCCCTCATATGAAATGATAAGGGAGATTTACTTTGTAATATAATTAGTTTTGAGTGTGTGTTAAAAAACAGTGAATAAAAGAAAGCAAACAAGAGTACAAACTTGAAACTGCCAAGTGCACATGTGTGAGAGCGAATTGATGGCAATTTCACAGTATCACAGAACACTGCTCACTGCAATTTGCAGAAAATAAAGGAATACCACAATACGCCCTCAAAATTTGTTCATGACAAGGCTAATCTCTTGGGTATGACATCATCTGAACACCTTATAATCCTGAGAATGATAAATTTCAAGAATATCTAGAAAAAAATGTCAGATTAACTCAATATTTGCTAATATTATGAATGATATTACTGAGACAAGCTTTATGCAATAAAACTATTTTGGATTTTGGTACCTCATGTAGACCCATTATTTTCCAAACACAAATGATACAATTTTACTTCTTTTTAACTTCAGAACAAATAAATACAGTTACTGAGAATAACCAGTCAGCACAAAGATAGACAACACAAAAATACTACCTTAAAAAGGAACCAAATGACACATTATCACAAAACTAATTAATAAGCCTGATACACCCCATGTTTACTTGACCGAATGATACAGCCTTCAAACTTGTCGGTGCACTGGCAAAGGCCCACTAAGACTGAGCTTGGTGGGCCTTGGTGGCAACTCATCATCGTCAAATACGACACCAGCCCAAGCTCTTATCTGGCCAGAATATGCATAGAGGGAGTTTGTTCACCTCCTCTGGATTGCCAAAAGCAGAGGCTGCAGCAACTGCCTGACACATTCTTAGGTAACATTGGCCATTAAGAGGTCCAAACCTGGTTTCTGCCTTATATTCCCTTAAACCTTTACATACATACATGGAGCCCCCACTGCCAAATCTGTCTAATGTTCTCTCTTGACGTGAATATGTGGAGGATTCTTTGTTTTTCTGGGTGGGGGTTACAGAGGCAGGGCTTCCATGGTGGCACGGGGGAACCTGCCTCCCTGCAATCTGACTGGCCACCCCGTGTGCCCCCTCAATGGTCACTGACCCTTTTTATATCAATGCATAATATTTATGTATTAATACACAATACTTATATGTTAATATAAATTATTAATATATATCAATCCATAATACACATATGGCAAGATGAAAGCATAAACAATGTGTAACTGTACATTATAAATATTGATGTGGAATTCCTTAATTTTGGTTACTTTTGGGCGGCCCCCCCAGATAAATTGTTGCTGCCCATAACCTGCCCCTAAGGGGTTAGCGGGCAGCAGGGACACAGCCCTCTGCATTAGACAATATAGTGACTGCTTCTGCGTATATTATTCATATTTTACCCCAGAATTTCCCTGGTACCTTTCATGCCCTCCCCCGCTATTGGGGCCAAGAATGTCGGGTTTGGGGGTTTCCACACAATTTGCAAAATAGAGAGTAAGAGGAATCCAACAATACCAAAACAATCATTATTCATTTGACAGAACTATTAATAAAAAAAAAACTCCATAAATTGTTAAACAAGTTCCTTCCAATTATATTATAGAAGCACGCACTGATTCACTAACTGATAACAAACTTCAATGGAGGTGTGAACTATAACCACGAAATAACATTACAATACGTGGCAAACATCAATAACATTGACAACGAATAATCGCATGCA